GTGTGGGTGTGGGTGTGGGTGTGGGTGTGGGTGTGGGTGTGGGTGTGGGTGTGTGGCTGTGGGTGTGGTTTGTGGATGAGGTAGTGGTGGAGGTGTGGGTGGGTGTGTGGTCCTTCTTTTAACTCGCATCCACACCCACACCCACATCCTTCTTTGATAGACCCGGTACATTTCAAGAAATTGCAACTAGCGTTTGGTCACTTTTCTTGCAGCATTTGGAAAGAAATCACTGCACATATCAAAATCATTATGGAAATGGAAAATTCAGCATTTATCACATGCTCAAATTAAATCAATATCAAGAGATCTTGTATTTGTACCTGACGTGAGTCGATGATCACGATTTTTTTGTTCAAGTCAATGAAATGCATAAGTATTAACACGACAGAAAAACAACAAACAAAACTGATGAATAGATTTCGATGTAGAGCCACCGACACGTGTTGAGTGTGGGTGTGGATTTGAATAAAGAGAAGGCTCACACCAATAGTCACATCCCATACCCACACTCTCTATGAAAATCTTGGGAACGCGACATCAAATAAAACATGAGTCTGAAATAAGCCATGAGCAGAGTTTGGGATCTTAATGAATCCTATGTGGTGGATGTCCCCCACGTTGCTCTATCGAACAGCGAAAACTACAGCTCGATAGCCTGAAATGATGAAAAGTTTTTCGAAAAACAATGGTTGGGGAATTTTTAAAAAAAACGTACATTAGTGCTTAGTGCAACGTTGGCAAAAACTAGCTGGCAGGAGGACTTATAGTACCTGATGAGTATAAGAAGATGACACTTACAGGCAAAAGTTGCAAATATTTTTCTCATTACATTGTCGGGTGAATTGGCATCTAATCGGTATGTTGCTTATATTATATAGAAATTTGAATTGTGATTTTTGGATTAAAAAATAAATGGCGAAATCACATAGACTTTTCTGCCAAAGCATATTCCATTTTAGAATCGAAATATTTCCTAGAAAGTAAAAATTCTTGTAGGAATATTTGTGGCTATAACTCGATAATTTTATTTCTGTAGAGTATTTCTTTTGAGAAGTTATGGTTTTTATTACCTTTTTTTGTTACTATTAGATGGACAATAAGTTCGACAATATATGGTATCTATTATGAATTAAATATGGCTCAAGAACATTCAGAAAATATAAAAGATCGATAGGATTGTTTGTTATCTTTTGAAATAATTCTATAGATATTACCAACTGATAGAGTCATCTGTTGAATAATTACACAAAATTTCTATTGGTAAAAGAAACGAAAAGATGTGTATAGATACTTTCAGTAGTTTTTCATTTTTTTTTTCATCTCAATCATGGCGAGTATGCAGAATACTCCTAAAACTATGAAAGCTATACTTTTACATGAATATGGTGGTAATTATCGTTTTCATGATGATACTCCTGTACCATCAGATTTAGATGATTATGATGTTTTAATTGCTATAAAAAGTGCTGGTTTTTGTCATACAGAAATGCTTGTACATGATGGAATAATAAAAGCAAAACAATTACCTCTTATACCATCACATGAACCAACTGGTGTTATTGTTGCGATGGGTACAAAAGTTAGTCATGAATTTAAACTTGGTGATCGAGTTGGTGCACTAAATTGTCATCATCAATGCGGTCAATGTTCTGATTGTTTAAATGATAAACCATTATATTGTGATGACCGCAATAGCACTGGTATTACAATTAATGGTGCTTTTGCTGAATATCAAAAAGCTGATTCACGTTGGCTTGTATCATTACCAGATGAAATATCATTTGAACAAGGCGCACCATTAATGTGTGCAGGTGCAACAGCTTTTAATGCTATTGAAAAATGTGCTTTGAAAAAAGGGGAAATTTTAGCAATTATTGGTCTTGGAGCATTAGGACATTTAGCTGTACAATTTGCTAAATGTATGGGATTCAAAGTTGTTGCTATTGATAATCGTCAAGAACCATTAGAACTTGTTCAAAAATTAAAATATTCACCAGATTTAACCATTGATTTGAGTAAAACAGATATAGAAAATGCAATTAAACAAATTAATTCACTTCATCCACCAACAAAATATAATTATTCAGGTGCTGATGCAACACTTGTTCTTACTGAACCTATCTCAGCTTTTAAATATGCATTAGCTATTACAAAAAAACATGGCACAATGATGGTTGTTGGAGCACCGCGAGAACCAATACCAATTGAAGTTTCTAATTTAATTCGTCGTGATATAACTGTTAAAGGAAGTCTTTTAGCAAGTATTGAAAGTGCTCGACGTATGGTAAAATTTGTTGTTCAACATGGAATTAAAAGTGAAATAAAAACTTATTCATTAGAAGAAGTACCAAATAAAATGTTGGAAGATTTTCATAGCCCAAATATGAAAGGAAAATTAGTTGTTAATATCTCTTCATAATTTTATTTGGCATTAGGTTTTAAATAAAGTAAAAGATTATGATTCAAATATACGATTTGTATGTAAATTTTTTTGTTAATCAATAAGAGAGAAAAAATATTTGAACATAATAATCGAATTCTTACTCTGCCATTGATTTAGTGTCTGTTCATTGTTCTCTGGTTGTCTTGACAAACATCAAGAAGTTTTAGTTGCACTTTTCGATTGCATCGAACAGCAATATTAATAAGAAAGCAGTAAAATGTAGAGAAAAAAGAACAACTTATTCACGTTCTCTGTTTTTTGTGCTTAATAAAAGAATCAGTCGAATTCTGTTTTCATTTAATAAAAACTGATCGTTGCGTAAAATCAACCAATATAAGTGAGTTTTCGTCTGAACAAAAATCTTTCGTTGTCGATCTAAAGAATTTTTGATCGATGACGTTTCATTTTCAAAACTAAATAGACTCTAAACTTATAACGATTTTTTTCATTGTCAGTTAACTTTTGGTGTCTCGTTTCGCATGCTTTGAGTTGTATGAATTCTATTAGGTTCTTGTGACTTGAAGGTGTTGGATGAAGAACTTCATGTTGATCACACTAGTGATGTCTAACAGAATGTGACGGTATTAGCAGCGGCGTAGCCAAGGGAGGGGAAAATGGGCAATTGTCTTTTTCACTTAGAGATTTGCCCATTGTAATTTTTATGAGTAAGTTTTTGCCCATTGAAATTTTACTTCTTCAGAATGGTTTATTTATTTTTGAATTAGATAGTAACTCTATTTTTTTCTTCCGTCTGAATCACACATGCACTTTTTGCTAGTTCTTTCTGTGAACAATTAAGAAAAGAAGAAGGAAAGAATCGCTTCTGGTACTTTAAACAAGATTGCCAGACGAAAAACTTGAAAATCAGAAATTCTTGTTTTCAAAATCAGAAAAAAATCAGAATTTTTCTTTGAAATCGGAAATTAATCAGAGAGAGTAACTTCTTGCAAACCTAGGACTATCATGTTGGCATACTTGCACAAAATGCTTCACTTTTTTGTTTATCGACTCATACGTTATGTCCAAAAGTATTTCATAGTAAAGAAAGACAACACAAACATTATATAACTAAGAGTGAAAGATCGTGTACTGTAAGCTAAGGAAATTGATCATAGTCGGATTAAATGAATGCTCTCACTGTCAAACTAACTAATTAAAAATATGAGGTGCCAATAGCATACACAGAGACTGAGATATTCGAGTTTCAAGAAATTTACAGTTTGTTATGTGCCCACGCTACGAAATTTCATCAACAGTTAGTTTTCTTTTTTCGTCATGGTTGGATGAAGCACGATCATTTACATAAGAAAAAACAATATCACGCATATTAAAAAGCAAATTTTACGAAGTCTAGGACAACATTTTTTAATTATAAGGGTAATAAACAAAAAATTCTAAATGCTGTCAAATTGCTTTTGAATATGTGTGACATTGTTTCTCCTTATGTAAATAGTCATGTTCCATCCAACCATGACGAAAAAAGAAAATTAAAGATTGATGAAATTTCGTAGTATGAGCACATGGCAAACTGTAAATATCTTGAAATGTAAATATCTCGGTCTGTGTACGCTATTGGCAGCTCATGTTTTAAACTAGTTGGTCCGTGAGTGAGAACATTCATTTGATCCGACTATGACCAATCTCCTTAGTTCGCAGTTACATAGCCTTTAATTGTTAATTAATATAAAAAAAGCTAGTAAAAGACACCTAGTGTCGGATTCTTTTACGACGCCCAAAACTCTGTTTACAAAAAATATGCGCAAACAAATCATATATGTAAATTATGCAGATCAAAAAATCTTACGAAAAATAATAAAGGTTATAGAACATAAATTTCATATTATTTTTCAAGTTTTTCGTTGTTCAAAATTCCTTCAATAAATGTTTGTGTGCTAAAATATGTTTACAAAATCGTTCAAAAAAAAATAATTAGCATTCATTCTTAAGTTCAGCAACGCAAAAATTTACTGATATATTAAAGTATTCATCAATGGCTGCAAAACTCAGAAGCTACTAAAGATTAAGAAAGGAAAGAAGGTAGCGCAATACAGATCTATAATATTAATGAGCAGGCATCGTAGCAGACCCTTAAAATATAGGACCGTATGTCTACGTAATATATGAACAAATTCCAAAATTTCGTGTATTTACATGGAGTTTTGAAATTTATTCATATATTACGTAGACATATAGTCCTATATTTTAAGGGTCTGCTGCGATGCCTGATTAATGAGTTATAGTCGTAATTAATTTCGCCAGTAGAGCCACCATCTGAAACCATTTGGAATTCGGCAACAAATCAGAAAAAAAGTACCAAAACCAGAAAAATCAGAAGATCAGAACAAAATCGGGAAAATGTTCAAATTTCAGAACCTTTCCTCACTTTTCAGAAGGTCTGACAACCCTGATTTTAACTGTAAGTTTGGGTGAAAATGAGTTCGATTTTATTGGGAAAACACTAACCACGTCAAGGGTGTGGATGTGGCTGTGGGCGAAGTGTATGGT